ATTGGTATGTTCATCTATGTGCTTCAGAGTTGTCCAAATACCTTACCCTCCAACTCCTAGTGCTTGAAATATAATTGACGGCACTATAAAGATTAGACTCTAACTGGCTCATCATGTAAAACCTACCACTGGCAGTCTGACTTCCGTTGTAAATGATACTGTGAAAAGATGAGAAATTTAAGCAATTTTAAAATGCGTTGAATAATTCTAAATAATATATATATATATATATATATATATATATATATATATAATTTATACACAGACACACACTCACCACTTTATTAGGTACACCTGTTCAATTACTTGGTAACACAAACTGGTAATCAGCCAGTCACAAGGTGGCAACTCAATGCATTGCGGCATATAGATGTGGTGAAGACGACTTGCTGAAGTTTGAACCAAGCAACAGAATGAGGAAGAAAGAGGATTTACAGGACTTGGTTGTTGGTGCCACACGGGCTGATCTAAGTATTTTAAAAACTGCTAATCTACTGGGATTGTCACACACAACCATCTCTAGGGTTTACAGAGAATGGTCTGAAAAAGAGAAAATATCCAGTGAGCAGCAGTTGGGTGGATGAAAATGCCTTGTTTTCAGAGGAGAATGGGCAGACTGGTCACTGTGACATTCAGATGTGTTGTGGACCTTTTGAATTATGTCTCAAAAATATGACTTTATCAAGACATAATATTATATGGCAAACAGCTCAGTATAGCCGGATGCTAAGAGTTAATTTTGTCTGGTTGAACCATCAAGGATTCTAGTTAAGAAATGGAGAAGGGGGGAAGTGAGACTTTTCCAAGACAATAAGACTGTTTGAACTGTCAACAAGGACTATTTGTATATTGAGGTTGAGAAGAATGCAGATACAGAAAGTCAAACAAATAGCCAGATAGGACTTCGACTTTCAAACATTTTAACAATAATGAGACGGGAACTCAACTGGTTGAAAGCTTAACCAAAACGTGCAGAGTGTGATGAACCAACAGACCTCTGAAATATACTATTGTTCACCAAGGGTGAAAGCATTAACAGTTGTTTACCATGAGTCCAACACAAGGGCCAGGCAAACAGAAAGTTTTTTTTTCTACACAGAGAAAATGTTGATTCTAAAACAAAGGGGTGAAATTTAGGACATTTAAGTCTAAAAGTTGACTGTATATAAAGTCTAAGAGTTGACTGTATATAATTACAAAAATATATTACAAAAACAATTATAAATGAGATGTTATGGATTTTACACACCACTAAATATTCAGAAATGGGAACTATATATCACTAACTTGAGTATTGAGATGATGGGAAGTAAGATGTATTATAAACTAGCATTAGTTACATGTCTTATCAGGAAACAAACAGGATGGTATTTCAAGAAGGAATAACTGAATATACACCTATATTCCATGGTCCCTATTTAGAATATCATAGGTATGATCACTTATATCTGGAAAAAGACGTATATTTGATTCCTGAAATTACCTTAAGATTCCACCCAAGGTATGAGTCATCTCAAATACTCAAATTGTTCTATGATACATGACCGCCACCTGGCGGGCAGGTGAGAAATAGCTTATGTACACACATTTCTCAACTAGCCAATCAGGAAGCCTGGTGGGAAGGTATCTTAGAACAATGGATTAGTGGATATAAAAGCCTTTGTACCTTTAACAAAAAAAAAAAACTCATCAAGAAAAAGCTCAAGAAGAGACCTCATCACAAGAAGACCCTGACATCTGAAGAAGATCTCTGCTGAATAACTACTCTTTCATATTTTAAAAACTTCCTAAAACTTTAACTAAATTCCTAAACCTCTAATCTTATAACTTCCTACATTCTCCCCTACTGAATATCTTTCACTTGCCCGATATATCAGTCCAAAGGCGTTCCACTGCCAGCTAAATCCACGGGAGAGTTGCCTAGTCTGAATTCCGGGTGTGGTGAGATGTTTATTTGATTTTGTATTAACCTATTTTCTCTGTTGTGTGGAATCATAAAATTATCTTAGTGTATCACAACAATATTGGGTAGTTAGATATATGTAGAGAAATCCTATTTTACTGTTAAAAATTGTTTATTGCCATATTTATAAATTTTTTCATATTTCATAATTTATTGAATATTAATAACCAGAGTATCATATATCAAGGGCTTGCTTCTTGCAATCCTATGGCCACGGCTTGCGAGAATATAACCTTTGAGATATTCGAAATTATTAATTATTAATAAATTTAATAAATAATCAGATCATTTAAAAATTGTGATTGATGTAATTAGTTAGAAACTTTATTATTGTGTCTTACATTGGTAGGATATATTCTTGATTGTGTGTACCAATATTCATTTATCACCAGTCTTTTGCGTTTTGTGTTAATATATATATAATTTTTGTACATAAATAAATTTTTATATTTATCTATTACAAGGCAAATTTTGTGTGTATGGTACGAAATCATATTGGCTAAAAGAATTCAAGGTATAATAATAAGTGGTGATCAAATTATCAAGGTGTCCAAATTATTGGTTTACTAAATATTTGCCGTATTTTAACGGCTGGAGGCACTGTAATATTTCATCTAAGGGAAAGGGACACGCCCTTTATAAATAAAATATATCCTTACATAAACCACCACAGGATAAATTTGGAGGCACTGCTGAGATTTCATCTAAGGGAAAGGGACACGCCCTTTATAAATAATATATATCCTTACATAAACCACCACAGATGGTAGAGTCAGAATTTAGCGTAAACAACATGAAATCATGGATCCATCCTGCCTTGTTTCAATGGTTCAGACTGGTGGTGTAATGGTGTGAGGGATATTTTCTTGACACTAGCAAGGAGTACTTAATAAAGTGGCCAGTGAGTACAAATGGAAATGAAAGTTATCATCCTACAGAGGACTGAATTCAAAAACACCCCGAAAATCAAAGTGAAAAAAAAATTATGCAGCAGGCTAGTCCATTTTGCTGAAATTTCATTGCAGCAACTCAAAATAATACTTAGTAGTTTGTACGGCTCCTACATGCTTGTATGAGCTCCTGACAACATCGGGGCATGCTCCCAATGAGACAACAGATGGTATCCTGGGGTATTTCCATGAAGATCTGGACCAGGACATCATTGAGCTCCTGGACAGTCTGAGGTGCAACCTGGCGGTGTCAGATGGACCGAAACTTGATATCCCAAAAGGTGTTCTATTGGATTTAGGTCAGGCGAGCATGGGGGCCATTCAATGGTATCAAATCCTTCATCCTCCAGGAACTGCCTGCATACTCTAGCCAAATGAGGCCAGGCATAGTAATGCACCAGGAGGAACCCAGGACCCACTGCACCAGTGTAGGTTCTGACAATGGGTTCAAGAATTTGATTCCAATGCCTAATGGCATTCAGGGTGCAATCGTCTAGCTTGCAGAGGTCTGTGCGTCCCTCCATGGATATGCCTCCCTAGAAAATCACTGACCCCACCACCAAAACGGTCATGTTGAACAATGGTACAGGCAGCATAACGTTCTTCATGGCTTCTCCAGATCCTTTCACGTCTGTTACATGAGCTCAGGGAGAACCTGCTCTCATCTGTGACAAGCACAGGGCACCAGTGGTGGACCTGCCAATTCTGGTGTTCAATCAAGTTCTATGGTGCTGGACGTTGGGCCCTCAGGCCACCCTCATGAAGTCTGTTTTGGATTGTTTGGTCAGAGACATTAACACCAGTGGCCTGCTGGAGGGCATTTTGTAGGGCTCTGGCAGTGCTCATCCTGTTCCTCCTTGCACAAATGAGCAGATACCGGTCCTGCTGATGGGTTAAGGGCCTTCTAAGGTCCATTTCAGCTCTCCTAGACTAACTGCCTGTCTCCTGGAGTCTTCCTCCATGCTCTTGAGACTGTGCTGGGAGACACAGCAAACCTTCTGGCAATGGCACATATTGATGTGCTATCCTGGAGGAGTTGGACTGCCTGTGCAACCTCTGTAGGGTCCAAGTATTGTCTCATACTACCAGTAGTGACACTGATCCTAGCCAAATGCAAAACTAGTGAAAAACAGTCAGAAAAGATGAGTAGGGAAAAAAGGTCAGTCCACCTGTAAAACCATTGCTGTTTTGGGGGTCGTCTCATTGTTGCCCATCTAGTTGTTTCATTAACAGCAAAGCAGCTGAAGCGGATTAACAACCCCCTCTACTACTTAACTGACTAGATCAATATCACAGAAGTTTAATTGACTTGATGCTATACTCTGATTAAAAGTGTTCCTTTAATTTTATTGAGGTGTGTGTATATATATATATATATATATATATATATATATATATACATACATACATACATACATACATACACACACACACACACATATATATATATACATACACACACACACACACACACACACACACACACACACACATACAGTGGGTATAAATAGTCTACCCCTATTAAAATGTCAGGTTTCTGTGATGTAAAAAAAAAAAAGAGAAATAATTTCAGAACTTTTGTCCACCTTTAATGTAACCTAGAAACTGTACAACTCAGTTGAACAACAAACTGAAATCTTTTAGGTGGAGGGAAGTAAAAATAGAATAATATGGTTGCATAAGTGTGCACACCCTTAACCACCAAAAAAATATTATTCCATGCACTGGTAACAAAACAATGCAATGTCACTATTCAAGCAAAAAGGGCACAGAATAGGGTCAGTTTTGTCGTCAAGAATCTGCTTTAAAATCTAAAGAGAGTTTAATAGTTAACCACTTACCTACCGGGCATTTTTACCCCCTTCCTGCCCAGGCCAATTTTCAGCTTTCAGCGCAGTCACACTTTGAATGACAATTGCGCGGTCATACAACACTGTACCCAAACAATTTTTATAATTTTTTTTGAGATAACGTTTTTTGCTAAACTAAAAAAGACTGAAATTTTTGAAAAAAAATTTTTTTTTTTTTTAAGTCTCTATTATAAAATTTTGTAAATAAGTACATTTTCTCCTTCACTGATGTGCACTAATGAGGCTCCAGTGATAGGCACCGATAGGTGGCACTGATGGGCATGGACAGGCATCACTCGTGGGCACTGAAAGGCAGCACTGATGCGTACTGACTGGCACTGTTAGGCGGCACTGATAGGCAACACTGACTGGCATTGATAGGTGGCACTGATAGGCAGCTCTGATGGGCACTAATATGAGGCATTGATGTGCCCTGTTAGGTACTAATATGTGGCATTGATGTGCACTGTTAGGTACTAATATGTGGCATTGATGTGCACTGTTAGGTACTAATATGTGGCATTGATGTGCACTGATATGTGGCATTGATGGGCACAGACAGGTGACACTGATGGGGCTACACTGATCATCAGGGCACTGATAATCAGTGCCCTGATGTTCAGTGTAGATGTCCGCTCTGAGTAATGCTGATTACCGTCTCTCCTCTCCTCACAAGATGTCAGCGGGAGGAGAGGACTGCCGACGAAGTTAGAGTGGGAGGATGTCATATGACATCCTCCCAGAATGAGAGAACGGCCATCCTCCTGTCATTACCTTATATGGTGGGCGGGAGGTGGTTAAACGAATAATTTGTTGAAGCACCTTCTGATTTTATTACAGCACTTAGTCTTTTTGGGTGGGAGTCTATCAGTATGGCACATCTTGCCCACTCTTCCTAGCAAAAACACTCCACATTTGTCAGATTGCAAGGGCATCTCCTGTGCACAGCCCTCTTCAGATCACCCCACAGATTTTCGATATCAGATTCAGGTCTGGGCGGGCCATTCCAAAACTTTCATCTTCTTCTGGTGAAGCCATTATTCCTTTGTTGATTTGGATGTATGCTTTGGGTCGTTGTCATGCTGAAAAATGAAGTTCCTCTTCATGTTCAGCTTTCTAGCAGAAGCCTGAAGGTTTTGTGCCAATATTGACTGGTATTTGGAACTGTCCATAATTCCCTCTACCTTGACTAAGGCCTCACTTTCAGTTGAAGAAAAACAGCCCCAAAGCATGATGCTGCCACCACCATACTTCACTGTGGGTATGGTGTTGTGATGTGCAGTGTAGTTTTTGTGCCAAACATATCTTTTGGAATTATGGCCAAAAAGTTCAACCTTGGTTTCATCAGACCAGAAACACATTTTCCCACATTCTTTTGGGAGACTTCAGATGTGTTTTTGCAAAATTTAGCCAGGCTTGAATATTTTTCTTCATAAGAAAATGCTTCCATCCTGCCACTCTACCCCATAGCCCAGACATAGAAAGAATACAGGAGATTGTTGTCACATGTACCACACAGCCAGTACTTGCCAGATATTTCTTCAGCTCCTTTGATGTTGCTGTAGGCCTCTTGGCAGCCTCCCAGACCAGTTTTCTTCTTGTCTTTTCATCAATTTTGGAGGGACGTCCAGTTCTTCGCAATGTCACTGTTGCGCCATATTTTCTCTACTTGATGACGACGGTCTTCACGGTGTTCCATGGTATATCTAATGCCCTGGAAATTCTTTTGTACCCTTCTCCTGACTGATACCTTTTAACCACTTGAGCTCCTGAGGATTTACCACCCTTAATGACCAGGCCTCTTTTTGCTACTTGGCGCTGCACTAATTCAACTGATAATTGCGCGGTCATGCAATGCTGCACCCAAACGAAATTTACGTCCTTTTTTTCACACAAATAGAGCTTTCTTTTGGTGTAATTTGATCACCTGTGCGCTTTTTATTTTTCATGCTATAAACAAAAAAACGCCAAAAATTTTGAAGAAAAACAATATTTTTTATTTTCAGCTATAAAAAATATATAGTAAACTCAAAGTTGGTTATAAATTTAGGCCAAAATGTATTCTGCTACATGTTTTTGGTAAACAAAATCCCAATAAGTGCATATTGATTGCTTTGTGTGGAAGTTATAGCGTCTACAAACTATGGTATAAATACTGCAATTTACGCCATTTTTCTGCTATACAGCGCTGCGCTAGTTTAACGGACAATTGCGCGGTCATGAAATATGGTACATAAATGAAATTTACATCCTTTTTTCCCCACAAATTGAGCTTTCTTTCGGTGGTATTTGATCGCCTGTGCGGTTTTTATTTTTTGCGCTAAAAAAAAAAAAAACGGCTGACAATTTTGAGGAAAAAAAAAAAACAATATTTTGGACTTTTTGCTATAAAACATGTCCAGTAAAAAAAAAATGCAAAAATTAAATTTAGTCATAAATTTCTGCCAAAATGCATTCTGCGACACATCTTTGCTAAAAAAAAACGTGTAAATTAATTGGTTTATGTGAAAGTTATAGCGTTTACAAATGGCGGGAAAGATACTGGGATTTTTAGGTTTTTTTTTATACTAATAATGGCGGCGATCAGCGAATTATGGCGGCCATCAGGGACTTATGGCAGCGACCAGCGGCTTATGGCGGGACTGCGGTGGACATTCTGACATTGGGGGGTACTGACTTGCGGTCACTGACATCCCCAAAAACACTAATACAGTGATCAGTGCAAAAAAAAAACTGACACTGTACTAATGGCAATGGGGAGGAAGGGGGTGTGTACTGGGCGGGACAAGGCTGATCGAGAAAGTGAAACTATTCTTTCTCAATCAGCTCATCCTCAAGCTGACAGACAGCACAGCTACTGCAGCTGTGCTCTCTGTCACCGTTTACCGCTGATCGCCGGGACATAGCTGCTAACGAGCGGCTGTGACCCGGCAACTGACATCTGCGGCGGTGATCCACAGGACAAATAGGGCGGCAGCGCGCCTCGCGCGCGCCCCCCTATTTGTTTACAAAACACACGTTTTAAAACGTGTTTTTGCCTGTGAGTGCCGCCCTGCCACCGTATATGTACAGTGGCTGGGCGGCATGCGGTTAACAATGAGATTCCTCTGATGCTTTGGAAGCTCTCTGCTGACCATGGCTTTTTCTGTAGGATGCGACAAAGAATATGTCAGGAAAGACCTACTAGAACAGCTGAACGTTATTTGGGGTTAATTAAAGGCACGTTAGATGATGGCAGGTGTGTACTGACTCCTATTTAACAGGGTTTTGCATGTGATTGTTCAATTCTGAACACAGCTACATCCCCAGTTATAAGAGGGTATGCACACTTATGCAACCACATTATTCTAGTTTTTTATGTTTACTATATTGCCAAAAGTATTGGGACACCCCTCCAAATCATTGGATTCAGGTGTTCCAATCACCCTCAAGGCCTAAGGTGTATAAAATCAAGCACATAGGCATACAGACTGCTTCTACAAACATTTGTGAAAGAATGAGTCGCTCTCAGGAGTTCAGTGAATTCAAGCGTGGTACCGTGATAGGTTGCCACTTGTGCAATAAGTATGTCCGTGAAATTTCCTTGTACTAAATATTCCACGGTCAACTGTTAGTGGTATTATAACAAAGTGGAAGCAACTGAGAACAATAGCAACTCAGCCATGAAGTGGTAGGTCATGTAAAATAACGGCGTCACAGCATGTTGAAGCGCAGTGCGCAGAAATGACCAACTGTCTGCAGAGTCAATAGCTAAAGACCTCCAAACATCGTGTGGCCTTCAGATTAGCACAACAGTGCGTAGAGAGCTTCATGGAATGGGTTTCCATGGCCGAGCAGTTGCATCCAAGCCTTACATTACCAAGTGCAATGCAAAGTGTTACATACAGTGGTGTAAAGCACGCCACCACTGGAGAGCAGTGGAGACTTGTTCTCTGGAGTCATGCTTCTCTGTCTGGCAATCCGATGGACGTATCTGGGTTTGGCAGTTGCCAGGAGAATGAAACTTGCCTGATTGCACTGAGCCAAGTGCAAAGTTTGGTGGAGGGGGATTTTGGTATGGAGTTGTTTTTCAGGCGTTGGGCTTGGCCCCTTAGTTTTAGTGAAGGGAACTCTTAAGGTGTCAGCATACCAAGACATTTTGGACAATTTCATACTCCCAACTTTGTGGCAACAGTTTGGAGATGGCCCCTTTCTGTTCCAACATGACTGCGCACCAGTGCACCAAGCAAGGTCTATAAAGACATGGGTGATAGAGTTTGGGGTGGAGGAACTTGACTGTGCCTGATCTCAAAAATGCACTTCTGAAAGAACGGTCAAACATTCCCATAGACACACTCCTAAACCTTGTGGACAGCCTTCCCAGAAGAGTTGAAGCTGTTATAGTTGCAAAGGGTGGGCCAACTCAGTGTTGAACCCTATGGACTAAGACTGGGATGCCATTAACATTCATGTGCGTGTAAAGGCAGGCGTCCCAATACTTTTGGCAATATAGTGTGTGTGTCTGTCTGTCTGTCTGTCTATTGCAAACTGGGGTAGCTCTGGAATGACCGCCTGCCAGTTTAGTGAAAGCAAAACAGTTCATTTATTTGGATCACGGACAGACAAAAAGACAGCTTACTTCAGCCAAAGTCTATTAAGAGTCCAAAACCTGGTATCAGAAGCCAAACCACAAGCTCAACATTAATCTTCGGTCCCATACAGGGGTTTGGCTCCTCCATATTAAGGGTGCCAGGCAGTCCACATTGGGGGGTCAGCAGCCTGTGTCTCAGCTTGTCTGAGAGCTCCCACTTGCCACACAGCTTGTGAGTCTCTCCCATTCACTTCCCTGACACACCTGCTGATTCCCCTCAGCTGCCATTTAAGTCTCCCTCACCTGGGCTTTAACCCCTTTGGGACCAAAGTCCTGGTAGTCAGCAGGACCCTAAGGGCTTGTTCACACTTGACTTTATATCTAACTCTTGCCAAACGCCCCTATAGCGTTTGACAGGCGTTTGGGAAGCATTTTTAACACTCCTCAAATACCCTATGCACGATTTTGAGGCATTTGATAGGCATTTGCCAAGCGTTAAAACTGCACCACAATTGCCTGTAATGAAGTTAAATGGTATTAACAATCCACAAACACCTCGCAACCACGTCGGAACCGCACTGCAAATGCCTGCCAGGCGTTTGAGGAGCAGAACCATAGACTTGAATCAGAGGCTTCAACTCCTCCTGACTTGACATGAGGCGCCAGTTTTGCCGCGATGCAATGCTAACGCTTCAGTGTGAACAGCACTGTGTGCTGCCATGAGCAGAATTTTCATAGGCGTTTGAGAAGCGTTAAAAACGCTTCCCAAACGCCTGTCTGAGGCTTGCTGGCAAAGCTAGTGTGAACTGAGCCTAATACAAATTTAACAATCTAGAGAGTACTGCAATGTTTCTGCAATTGCCCTCTTAACGAAACCACACCCCAAATATCAGGGAAAAGTATCTGCCATGCAGGACAACTTCACGGTGGCCTGTGCAGTATGTGTGTGTATATATATATATATACACACACACCCCCAATGTTTAGCTTTGAGCTCAGCGCACACACTACAATCTGACTATATAATGGCATTTAGACCTACCATCAACTATGCGAAGCAAAG